GGGTGTCTCCTGACCCCCCCCCCACCCCTGGCTGTCAGACAGTGTTCTTCTTCCACCCCTTTCCAAGACAGAGCTTCTCACAGCCATCAGAGATGAGGAGAAGGACTAAGCCAGTCGTGTGTCCCACTGCAGACCATGAGTTGGAAGACCCTGTGGGATGTGGTACCCAAGTCCCCATGCTCTGGCATGCCTACAAGGATCTGCCACCCTCCAGCCTACAGGCAGGTGACACTTGTTCCCCTGCCCTGGGCAATGCCCCACTTGGACCATCAGTGCAGCACTAAGGTCCAAGTTTTAGGCCACTCCAGGTTATATTCCAGAGAACCCAAGTTTCCCTCTTGCCTTGCCCAACAGCCCTCCTGGGGCCCTGTGCTCCAGGCCATCACAAAGAGGTTTCTTTCTTCATGCCAGTGCCAGGTGTCTCCTCCTCCCCAGGGCCATGCTTGGTGCAAGGCTTGTCTCCAGCACCCACCCTTGGGTCTTCCAGAAGGGCTGCAGGCTTCTGACATCACAGCAGCCCAACCCTCCCCAGGGGCAGCCTTGGGGTAAAGAGACACCCTGACACCTCTGCCTGTTGTGACCAGCCCAGAGCCCCACACGTAGGCTGGAGCTCCTCTGCACCCATGGAAACTCCTCACCCAACCCAGGCAGGGTCCACCTTGGGCCCCACATTTCCACCCTTTCTTTTAGACCAAGGAGATTTATCCAAAGTCAGCATAAGGCTCTGTGCAAACTCCAGCTGAAGGGGTAAAATCACCTCCCCCTGGTTTGGGTGTTCCCTGTATTCCTGGAGGACAGTCAGCTAGGATGGCTTGGGGCAGGTGACGAGGCTGGAGGCACAGAGAAGATCTGACAGGGCCACTCCCATGCACTTCCCAACAGCAGAACTGCTTCTCCAAACTACTCCTCAAGCCAGAAAACGAAGGGAAGTAAATAGATATTAATGGTTTTGGTTAATTTCCCCCCAAGGAGTGACACTCTGTTCCCTACCACGCATTTCCTCCTTGCTGAGAGGATTTTGCAGCTCGAATCAACGCTCGGTTGCGACAGCTCTGCACCATTTCTCCACCAGCTTTTGGGATCAAAGCATGCAAATGACCCAGTAATATCACCAGAAAAAAACCCTTCCAGTAAATCCAGTTCCCCCCCCTCATTCTCACACCTCTCAGCGTCCAGCAACACTCCATCAACAGAAGTATTTGCTCAGCGCCCTCCCAATTACACAAAATCAAGAACTCCACAAAATTCCTTTGTAAAAGGTGATCTGCCCACACAGGACACTCCCCCCTCCCCGTGGTGGATGTTGATATTAAGTGCTCCTTACTTCAAGCTGCCCAGAAAATTTAATTCTGCTTTTTTTAATTCTTTTCTGAGAGGGTGAGGTGGGAGCTGTTGGGTTTTGGAAGGAGTAACAAACGTTTGCCATTCTTAAAAACGAAAAAATCTTAATTAATCTAACTAAAGATGAAAGGAGACGAATGATACTGGATGGATAAAGGTCACCAGAGAGGAAATAAATTCTCCAATGAGACAAACCGAGTGGAGGAGCTGAGCAGCACATCATCCAGTGACACCTCGCAGCTGCCCTGGGGATCTGAGCTGAAAGGAGCCGTGGGGACAGGTTCTGGGAGTGCCATCCCTGCCTCTGACTCACACAGCGCCGGCCCTGGAAAAACAGGTTTGAAACATTACAAAAAAAAGCCAATCCAAAAGCTCCAGTGGAAGGAGGTTCTGTCAGCAGAGCTGTCGGACCACGGGCACGACTCGAGACGGCTCCTTTTGCATGGAATATGGGAAATTCTAACAGCAGACTGCTCTGTTTGCATGAAATATGGGAAATTCTAACAGCAGCCTGCTCTGTTTGCATGAAATATGAGAAATTCTATCAGCAGCCTGCTCGGTTCAGTGGAAAAACCCCCTCAGTGGTCCATGATAGGGATGAAACATCCAACCCCAGAGCCGAAAACGTGACAACTACACCTCCGAAAGTCACAATTTCCCTTTATGCTCCTTTTGCCCCCCAAATATTC